CCCCAAAACCCCAAAACCCCAAAACCCCAAAACCCCTTAAGGTTTTTGAAAGTGTAAATAAAATTTAAGAAAACTTTGTAGAAATAAAAACATAATAAATATAATTAATTTGACAAAATATGTTTAAGAAATCTCATAGAGGGAGTATTCAATCCTCTTTGCAGACATCTTCTTGCTATTAACAGACCACCTAGATCTCTAATAGAAATTCTTTGGCTACCTGTGATTATCGTGATTCTAAGTCAATATTGCAGTAGTCGCCAGGAGAAAGATTATAGTATTCAAAGAAAAGCGAGAGAATTGTGCAGGAAAGAGATTATAAACCTGCTAATATAATTTACAACAAAGTAATTAAATCAAAAGCGCATTTAAAAGATCCCAGTCCTTCAAAAAAACGTAGTATTATTCCAGGAAGTGTAAGGTAATCACCTAAGAGGTCTACATTAAATACGAGTAAGTAAATATTTAATAGTCAAATGACTTTGAGACAGGCTATTTAGACTAAATGTAAGTGACAAGTTATTAAGAGCATCAATCATTTTCGCAATTTACCCATGCTATTTATGCATACTCATCCAAGTTTATGCAATTGATTATTAATTATATTTTGTAGTGATTAAATCAGCAACAAAGGCATAGATCCAACAACACTAGTAAGATTCATCTTCACTTAAAAAGCCTATGTTTAAAAATCTCTAATTTCAGAGTCTTAACACCAGCTAATCCCGAGGTTAAATTAAAAAAGATTCTACCATCATTAGTAAATCCCCAGAGTTAAAGTCTGAAGATCCACTCTAATCATGCCTTGTAAGGGTAAAGGAGTTATTGAACTAATCAAGGGGGTCTAAAGCGAATCTTAGTATGAACAATAAAGTTCCACTGCCTGTTGAGTTTAAGTCATAAGAGAATTCATCTCCCTATCAGCTGTTCAGGAATAAAAAATCCCTTATCTCTAATGCTTCAAACTATTCTAATGGAAAGGATAAAGCATCCACTCGCTAATTCATAAACAATAGCAATGCTAACATCTATAGCTGCACTAACAACCCATAAATTGCGATAAACTCGCAAAGATAAAAAGCAAATTAGGTAAATCATAATTACATAAGATTTACATACAAAAGACCTGTATCAACTTAAAGAAATTAATCTAAAAGTGGAGGGTCAGAATTTGGAGATTAATATAGCAACGGCGGAGATTCAAACCGTTAGAGCATAGAGTCATATAGAAAGAGCAATTAACTTTTAAAGATGATGAGGAGTTACACTCCAGGGATAACAAAGTCAACTTCTAATGATAATCTCCCCAAGAGAAAATCACAAAATATTCAGAGAAAGATTCCTTCTTTCGCATCAAACAGATCAATGGAAAATCTTCTAAATAATAATATCAAAAACAATATATAGACCTAGCAGTTTCAGACTTTGATTAATTAGGTTAAAATCGAGCTAAAATTGAATAATAACCAAGCAGTCAAGAATTTAAAGTAAGTTAATTAATTACAGTTGCAAGAACGCACATCCTCAATTACAGAGGATATTCCTGTAGATAATACGACTTTTGCAAAGTAAAAAAGTTTAAATCAAGCTGTACCTATTTACTTTGCGTCATAGAAAAATACAGTAAACTAGCATTTCAAAAGGAAAATTCTTGATGATCATATTTTGCAAAAGCTTAATGCTGATGATTCAGTCAAGTCTCTTGAATCTGCAGAACTGGCGCAGACATGTGAAGATGAAAAGTAATTCGAATAAAAAAAACCAATCTAGAGTTTAAAGGTTTTTAAACTAATGAACGATAATAATAAGAGCAGTAATATGAATTTGCAAACTTAATCAATAGCAAATTCAAGCTAGACTACTCCTAGTCAGTCTCATAACTCTGGAGTGCATCATGTCCAAATAGATCTTTTATAAGGCACCTTTAAGAAGACTAGCATGACTAAAGTTTAGAATAATAAGATAGACATTGTATCCAATTTTTCTCCTATTTTAAAGTAAGAGAAGAATAACACAGCTGATGTCAGCACACTTTATGCTCCAACGAAGCATAATCAGAAGCTATAGCTGCAGTCCTAGAAATCGCAGAACTAATCTGATTCAGTATAGATAAAATAACAGCAATAATAATAGCAGGATGGACACTCCTTTTTAATTGCGCCTTCGCTTAACTCAGAATTCTCTTATCATACGAAATTCTACAAGCCAAACCTTAACATAAACTTTTAATCTAAGTAATGTGAGTAAATCTAATAGTAGAATGAGTATGCCAACTTTTCACCAAAATGCTACAATCAAGATATATCAACAATAGAAAATTCTTAAGTTGTTAATGGCAACACTAGCAAGAATCATGTGCCTACAAGACTCAGCGGCTACGTCTCGTTTGGATAACTTCTTAAGAATTAATCTCTAGCTGATAAAGATCTGTCATTTAAGAATAGCAGTTTTATCAATATGAATGATCCCTATGGATTCGGTTCAATAATGAACAAGATTGATACGATAAACAAGGACTCACAGGGCGATTTAAGTTCTGAAGTGATTCATTTTAGAGCAGATGAGTCAACTTACAACGATGATTTGCGAAATTCATAGATGAGAGTATTCTAACAATCGTCTTTCTTTAACAGAGAAAAACTTGAAAGTCTGGAGGTGATACTTAGTGCTAATGGTGATGACGATAGAAACATTGAAACATAAAAAATCTGCTTGAATTAGTAACTAAGTTCAAGGTAGCATATAAATCAGAAGATACTTCAAAATAGTACAATAGTTGTGAAGAAAAGCCAATAGATCAGACCAGCAAGTTCTGTATAAGAATACAACTCTAAGATTATTAAAAATACCAAAGTGGGTAAAGTAAAAAGCCTCCGTAAGTTATAGTCATTAGAGGTCTCTTAGAATCAATCTTAGCTGGGCTAATACCACAATAATGCTCGCACAGATATGGTAAAGATGAACAATAATAGTAGCATTAGTGTTTTCAAATCTTAATCTTAGCTGTGGCTGAATAATGGGAGACCTGAAAATGGCTTTAACTGAGAATCTCTCTCTCTTACTCATTACTGTTAAACTAATTGACTAGGATATTTATATTCAAAGAGACTCGTGTGTATTTAAGTAATAACCATATAATTGTTGATAGAGTAATTTAGGTATTTTATTAATAACTTTTAGCTCTAATCATACAAGTAGTCTATTTTTAGGGGTTTTGGGGTTTTGGGGTTTTGGGGAGATCGGAAGAG